TTTAATTTTATTACAAAAAATATTTTTGTCATGATTTGTCTGCACAGTGTATCTTGAGATGATTGCATAACAACTAAAAAATAAAGCCTTAATCTTGTATATTGTGTGTGGCGTGTACGTATGTTGGGAGTGTGTGCGTGTATGGTGGGTTGTGGGGGGGGGAATGGTGGGTTGTAGGTGGGATGTTGGGGGTGTATTGGGGGTGTATGGCAGGGAGGGGTGTGTATGGTGGGATATGGGATGTGTGTGTGGTGGGGTGGCACACAGCCTCTTCTGGAGGCAGCAGGAGCATCAACAGGTGGGGGCACTCAGGGTGCTCGTGTCCAGTGCAGTTGCTGCTGCCCTGTGGTGTGTGGCTTTGGTCAGTGCTGCACGTGGGGACAAGGAGCGCAGCCCAGCTGGGCTGCCTCTATTACCAGGGCTCTGTGCATCCCACATGCAGCTTCTGGCACTTGCATCACACTAGGGAAAGCCCCACACGCTGGAGCCAGCTGCTGTGCAGGTCCCAGCTACATGCTGGCTGAGCCCGGCCATTCTGCCCACGAGGGTGGGAGTATTTTGCCTGCCCCTGTTTTAGGCACATTTAGCACACAAGTGATTGAGATTATCCTCATCCATGTATCCATGTTAACCCATGGAATCAATGTGGAACTTGATCCTACTGTGCTTAATTGCTCGAATTATCTTCAGTGGGTCTCCCCAAAGGATTATGGGACTCTACATTCAGGCCTTGATATTGATTCCTTGATTGTTTTTTGTATCTACTGAAAATCCCATTTTCTCTCCATAATGGTGACTAACCATTGGAAAATGCAAAGATAAAAATGACTGATAAAAATATTCTCCCATTACCAGTTGAAAGTGTTTTTTATATTCTGCCTCTTGGGGATATGTCTCCAGCTCTATCAAGAACATAAATTATAGTATAACTTCACATCATAAACTGACAGAGAAATAAACAGTTTCTTAGTGCTCTGCTGTTGTCATTGTGTGTGGCCTACCAGTCAGGGTACTGTGGCCTGTGAAATAAACTGAATAATAATAACATTGACTTTGAGATGGAATTGCCAGCAGAATTGCTATTTTGCCCAAGGCAACAAGAAGAAAGAAAACAAACCTCCCTGCGTGCTGTGCCCATTTCCCTAACTGCAGACAGATATTAATTCTGCATACAAAGACTGAGACAAATGTGAAATGTTTCTCCTTTTATAGGCCATTTGGAACTGAAAATTTGGGACCTCAGCTAAACAAAGCCTCTATAGCAGAATGCCTACCCCCAGCCTGGGTTTGGAGGTGTACAGTGGTTGCTGCTCCATCCTAATCACTCCAATAACATATATTCCATGGCCCTCATAGACACTGCAAATACCAAGGAGAGAAAAAGATAAATGAATTCACAAAACAGAACTTTCTCCTCATCATGTTTCCTCGCTTTTTTCTTCTTGGTCATTCTCCCTAAGCAACAGTGCACACAAGAAGCGACCAAAGACATAGATTTCACACAGTGCTGGTCACTCAACACCCTATTTTTCAGGGACATTCTTCAGTTTTTCTTCAAAAGGACCTCCTCTCTCTGCCCTGACAAAAATAGCAGTTTGGTCTTGTGAACAATGCCTAGGGCTAGACTAGAATTCATGAGTTCTCAGTCTTATCATGCTTCTAAGGGAAGGTTTGCACTTGTGTGACTGATGTATAGTGTAGGCATATCTGAGCTACCTTTAAACAAACCAGCTGACATACCAACAGTGGTCTATTTATCTATTTATCCAGCTCCACAAGCATTCTACACTGCGGGTGCGTCAAAATGTGCACTCTTACTGTGCAGTAACTTCGGTTATGGTGAATTAATAAAAAATTACTGTGCAGTAACTATAGCGATCTACGCCAACTTGGATATAAATTTGCTACCTGCATGATACAGGTAGAAAATTTATGCCCAAGTAGTTACTGAGCAGTAAGGCATGTGTAGATGCCTTATTGAGCAGTAACTCAGCGTGGACTAACGGGACAAACTTTAGTCCAAAGTCAGTCCACACACAGCATTATTGTGCTGTAACATTTGTACATACAGACACTAGTGCAAAAGCTGCTTGCTGTGCAGTAATTTACCGCGCAGTTAATGCACATGTAGACACACCCTGACTGTGGTACACTGCTATTGGTACCTGAGTGTAGTATGCCTACACTACCCTGTGTCATAGTGGTAACTGCAATGCTGGCACGCTTATTTGATGTACACCATAGAATAACAGGTAAAAGGCCTGCATTTTCATATGTGGCCTCTACTATTACATGCCCCAGTTTCTAAATACCCAGATTTACATATATGACTCATTTTGACAAAATTGGAAGTATTTGCATTGCAAAATGACCTCGGTTATAATTAGATATGTAAATAGTTTGATAATACACAAGATACTAATAGATGGTGATAAAAAACATGTTGAGCAGTTTGGGCTTTATATCACAAATAAAAATTGTGGCAGTAGAAGTGGTGGTAGTGCAATGCAATGTCTTATCTTACATAGGTTTTAACATCAAGTTCTTAACACTTTGTCATAGAATCATAAAAAAATATGGCTGGACCCCAGGTAGCAATTTAGTTCAACCCCTGCTCAAGACATGAACAACCTTGTCAAACCAACCCAGACTACCTACCCTGTACTTACAATTTCCCAGTGGTGGAGGTCCCCCCAGCCTAAGTAAATTGTTCCAGCTGTTAACCACCCACCTCATTAG